GCTATTTACAGGTTAAGGATTCCTAACTTTATTGGCAAGCTAAGAGCTGTTACCTACATCAGCTCATTTGAAAGCATTTTTATTGTTATGAGACATACAAGTAGGAAACAGGATGAAGTTGGAGCCATCTGTGGGCCAGCATTTTCATTTGATCAACTGACTTTATCTCGTTGACATCATTATGCTGTACGAATGTGTTCCATACTCTAGTCATCCTGGGTATGTATGATCTCAGATGGAGTGATGTTCTGGAGAAGGGTACAGCCAGAGTGAAGTTGCTGCTTTCTGCCCGTCTTGTGGCATAAAAGCTTGTTTCACGCTGTCCTCGAAGTGGATCCAAGTGTGGTATTTTGACAATATTGGCCTTGTACATAACAGTAAGGCCACCCACATCCCTCCTATGTTGAAGGCTCTGCTGAAATGACAGATCTATCCAGGATGGGTCCAGGCGAGAGATGAGACGTCTTGCTCTGTTCTCTACTCTGTCAAGCAGTCGCAGATGAGAGGGGACAGGCAAACCAAGAAAGTGGAGCATAGTCAAGGTGCGAGCGTACTTGTGCCTCGTACAGGATCTTGCAACCCCTACTGTCAAGCAGATGGGAGATACGGCGAAGTGCTGTAAGCTTCCTGGCTGCCTTGTTTGCAAGATTTACAACATGGTTCTTCATGGTTAGTTTGGAGTCAAATTTCACCCCAAGGATATCAACTTCTTCTCCAGGTGCCAACATCCTCCCATTCATCCTTACTACTGCACCAGCATTACCATCATGGTGCCTAGAGACGATCATCATTTGCGTTTTCTCAGGTGCAAATGTTACTTGCCATCTATTTCCCCAAGCTGATATAGCTCTCAGCTGGTGATTGATGTAGCTTAGAGCAGCTGGCATTTCTTCTCTTGGATAAGTGAATGTCAGTGTACAGTCGTCTGCATATGCATGTGATTCTGGGATGAGATGAAGAAGGTCGTTGAAGTAGACATTCCATAACAATGGACCCAGCACTCTTCCTTGTGGAACACTTGCCCCAATAGGATGTCTTGCTGATTCCGTTCCATTGAGAACTACACTTAGAGATCTACCATGAAGGTAGTCACTGAGGAGACATAGCGTAGAGCCTGCAATTCCCAGTGCTTGAAGTTTTTTCTCAACTTTTTGAAAATCAATTGGATGGTTAAAATCTCTTACATGAATAAATGGAGCATTGGAATCTTGTCCAGTTCTAATGCTATATTTATGTTGTTTTAATCTTAGTTCGAGATTTTTACCAGTTTGACCGTAATAAACTTTATCGCAAATTTTACAAGGAATCTTATAGACATATCCATCAGCATTTTGGGGGGAATTCAAAAGTTTTTTTTACTGTATCAAGATTTTTGAATACAACTTTAATATTAAAAGTCTTAAGAAGAGAAGGCATATCAACCAAGTTTTCATGGAAAGGGAGAACCAACATATTTTTAGTTGAATTAGGCTGGTTGTCCCTTTTTGGATTGTAAAAAGTATTTCTAGCAACTTTAAAAGATTTATCAATTACATTTCTTGGGTATTTTAAATCATTACCTATTTCATAAATTTTGGATATTTCCTCATCTATGAACTCAGGACTACAAATTCGTAAAGCTCTCAAAAACATTAATGAGAAAACAGACAGTTTGACTCTATCTTGATGCGAGGAATAATAGTGGACATAGGAACAGTTATTTGTAGGTTTTCTGTAAAATGCTGATGGATGTGTCTATAAGATTCCTTGTAAAATTTGCGATAAAGTTTATTACGGTCAAACTGGTAAAAATCTCGAACTAAGATTAAAACAACATAAATATAGCATTAGAACTGGACAAGATTCCAATGCTCTATTTATTCATGTAAGAGATTTTAACCATCCAATTGATTTTCAAAAAGTTGAGAAAGTAGTATCAAGCAAGTCCATGGTCGACAGGAATATAATTGAATCTTGTTTCATAAAAAGCAGTTTTGACAATAATATGAATATTTCCTTTGGTTTATATAAATTAGATCCATTTATAATTAATAGAATTTGGGAAGAATTTAATAATACACTGGACAAATAATAATTTTTAAATTTTCTTGGGTAGAATAGTTTGTGGGGTGAATTGTGCAAAGGACCTATCCAAGTTGGGTCGGCGCGCGTCAGGTGTTTAACCGTTGTGGGATCTGATAGTGAGGTGCTGGCCAGACCCCTTATATAGCTTCCTTGGATGCTTTACTTTCATAGTTCCTTGATAATGTGAGTAGTCACGAAAGCGCTTGGAATTTATTCTTTTTGAGTGGTTGTTTTGCATATTCTGAAATCACCTGTTTACTGTGATCTTATTGCATATATATATATATATATATATATATATATATATATATAATATATATATATATATATATAAATATACATATATATATATATATATATATATATATATATAAAAATATATAATATATATATATATATATATAATATATATATATATATATATTTGAAACCATCCTAAAACAATTGAAACTCAATTTATAACTAATTTAAAACATCAATTTTCAATTTGAAACCAACTTAAAGTTAGTGTTAAGTCAAGTATCAGTCGCTGATTACCTTAACTTTAGGTCACTTTGTAAAGTTTATGTATTATCGATTATCAGTTATTATGACTATAATTCACTTTTAGTTATTAAAGTAACAAATAAACATACTCTCACGACTATGATAAAGACTCAAGTGAGCTCTGAGAATATCCACTGAGATACTGTGTATATACACTGAGATATATTTGTGTATGTTTATATACCCCAACAGCAACTTAGGTTTAAAGCCTGTCGACTTATAAGTTTTCTTAAGGTAGACGTAGTCTAGAGGGTGGGTAGGTACTCACACACCTAGTCCAGAAGATATGTAGGTACCCATATACCTAGTCCAGAGGGTAGGTAGGTACCCACACACCTAGTCCAGAAAATACGTAGGTACCCACACACCTAGTCCAGAGGGTAAGTAGGTACGCACAGTTCTAGTCCAGATGGTATGTAGGCACCCACACACCTAGTCCAGAAGGTAAGTAGACACTCACACACCTAGTCCAGAGGGTACGCAGGTACTCACACACCTAGTCCAGAGGGTAGGTAGGTACTCACACACACCTAATCCAGAGGGTACGTAGGCACCCACATACTTAGTCCAGAGGTAGGTAGGTACCCACACACCTAGTCCAGAGGGTAAGTAGGTACCCACACACCTAGTCCAGAGGGTACGCAGGTACTCACACACCTAGTCCAGAGGGTAGGTAGGTACTCACACACCTAATCCAGAGGGTACGTAGGTACCAACACACCTAGTCCAGAGGGTACGTAGGTACCCACACACCTAGTCCAGAGGGTAAGTAGGTACCCACACACCTAGCCCAGAGGCTACTCAGGTACCCAGAAGACTAGTCCAGAGAGTACAAAAGTACCCGCACACCTAGTCCAGAGAGTACAAAAGTACCCACACACCTAGCCCAGAGGCTACTCAGGTACCCAGAAGACTAGTCCAGAGGATATGCAGCCACCCAACAAGCCTAGTCCAGAGGGTAGACGAAGGTGTGGACTTGGTCAATAAAGCCAGGCAATTTGTTACTGTAGGCTTGACAAGTGTAAACACCTCTGTCTTCCGGTCGTAGACTTCGCACCAGCAGGTCTCCGCTAGCCAACACCTGTGCGAGAGGGAAGATACAACATCTGTTAGTAATAATAATAATAATAATAATAATAATAATAATAATAATAATAATAATAATAATAATAATAATAATAATAATAATAATAATAATATCTCTATTTACTACCAGTACATGTACAAAGTATACAGACCATAGTTGACATCAATGACATACTACTATATAGAAACTCGCTTGTTATGCTGAGTATTTCTGGCAAATCATGTCAGTTTTGTCTCAGGATGTGACCCACACCAGTCCACTAACACCCAGATACCCATTTTACTGATGGGTGAACAGGGACAGCAGGTGTCCTATGGAAACACGTCCTAATGTTTTCCAGCCGTACCGGGGATTCGATACCCGAACCTCAGGGTGTTTGCTGACTGCTTAGAGACAGTGAGGACAGTAGAGGACAGAGAGTAGAGTCGCCAATACTTGAGCTAAAGGGTCAACATATTACATCAATAATAATAATAATAATAATAATAATAATAATAATAATAATAATAATAATAATAATAATAATAATAATAACGACAACAACTCAACACTTCTGCCATCGTCCAGGATCTACAAACGTCTGGCTTGTGAACCACTATTCAAGGTTCATCTAACCTGATCTTTATAACCTCATAACCAGCTCACCTTATACTTTGCGTGACGGGAGGTGACCTGGGTGTCCTTGAACAACCAGGTGGTGGACATGGAGTTAAGATGACCACGCAGGCGACACGGAAGGAGCACATCATTGCCAGGTTCACCTATCGCCTGCCTGGCGTACTGGTATATCCGTGGGATCAACCTCATAGACTCCGTACTGATCCAGCACGTTCTCCCAGGCAGATCCTCGTTCTCTGGTTAATGGGATTTAAAGCCTATTGACTACACGAGGGTCATTAAGTGTACATTTAACTTATTCACTAATGTGGAAAAAGGCATTTATGTACAGCTGAGGACATTTATTAAAGGAAATGTTTCGCCATTTAATATGTTGTTTAGGCGATTGTCAATGTATTGTATATGTAGTGTCTACGCCTTGTAGTCTATTTCCATTTTTTTTTTATTATTATTAACACATCGACCGTTTCCCACCAAGGCAGGGTGGCCCGAAAAAGAAAAACTTTCACCATCATTCACTCCATCACTGTCTTGCCAGAAGGGTGCTTTACACTACAGTTTTTAAACTGCAACATTAACACCCCTCCTTCAGAGTGCAGGCACTGTACTTCCCATCTCCAGGACTCAAGTCCGGCCTGCCGGTTTCCCTGAACCCCTTCATAAATGTTACTTTGCTCACACTCCAACAGCACGTCAAGTATTAAAAACCATTTGTCTCCATTCACTCCTATCAAACACGCTCACGCATGCCTGCTGGAAGTCCAAGCCCCTCGCACACAAAACCTCCTTTACCCCCTCTCTCCAACCTTTCCTAGGCCGACCCCTATCCAGCCTTTCTTCCACTACAGACTGATACACTCTTGAAGTCATTCTGTTTCGCTCCATTCTCTCTACATGTCCGAACCACCTAAACAACCCTTCCTCAGCCCTCTGAACAACAGTTTTGATAATCCCGCACCTCCTCCTAACTTCCAAACTACGAATTCTCTGCATTATATTCACACCACACATTGCCCTCAGACATGACATCTCCACTGCCTCCAGCCTTCTCCTCGCTGCAACATTCATCACCCATGCTTCACACCCATATAAGAGCGTTGGTAAAACTATACTCTCATACATTCCCCTCTTTGCCTCCAAGGACAAAGTTCTTTGTCTCCACAGACCCTAAGTGCACCACTCACTCTTTTCCCCTCATCAATTTATGATTCACCTCATCTTTCATAGACCCATCCGCTGACACGTCCACTCCCAAATATCTGAATACATTCACCTCCTCCATACTCTCTCCCTCCAATCTGATATTCAATCTTTCATCACCTAACATTTTTGTTATCCTCATAACCTTACTCTTTCCTGTATTCACCTTTAATTTTCTTCTTTTGCACACCCTACCAAATTCATCCACCAATCTCTGCAACTTCTCTTCAGAATCTCCCAAGAGCACAGTGTCATCAGCAAAGAGCAGCTGTGACAACTCCCACTTTGTGTGTGATTCTTTATCTTTTAACTCCACGCCTCTTGCCAAGACCCTCGCATTTACTTCTCTTACAACCCCTTCTATAAATATATTAAACATTATCTTTGCATTAATTGGTCTTAATTAATCTTATAATAGGCTAATTAATGCTAATGTAACCTAACCTTATCTAACGCAACTTTACCTGACCTTAAGTAACTTAATACAGACTAACTTCAACCTCATTTAATCTAACATAACCTACCTTAATCTGAATTAATATAACCTAGCTTAATCTAACTTCATTTAACATAACCCAGCCTAACCTAAGCTAATTTATCACCCTAACCAACCAAATGTTACCAGCCTAGCCAAACTTATCTAACCTTGTCAAACTTAGTCAACCTAACTTAGCTTCAAAAAAGCTTTTAGTTACAAGATTAGGCAACACAGTAAGTTACGATGTGACTTGGCATTAGGAAATACCTGTGAGGTTAACGGTGAAATACCTGGAGTAGACCTGGTGACTCGGGGAGCGCACCTCCAGGTGATACTCGCCCTGTCAGGGGTAGACGGTACAGGTGTGTGATCGACTGGTATTATGATATTAATGGAGGGGTATATAATACATAGAGAAGCTTTAATGGAGGCGATGTTTCACTCAAAATAGAGTTTTTTTTGTGAATGGATGAAGCTGTACTGTAATGTCACAGGGTATCTGTCAGCATATTTCCATGCGTAAAGAGGTATCAGCTCTTGGACTTTCTGCGTATTAAAATGCGTAAGTTTTTTTTTTCTCTTAGGGTTAGTTTAGTTTAATATGTTTATTATGCACCCCATACCCATCCTGTGGGCGGTAGTCAAAAGATTACAGAGGTACATAATTGGTCCAGGGACTGGACTCCAAAGTTTTGATAGCTGAGCAAGTTACAGAGGTAATGAACTCACAATTTACAAAGGTAATGAACTCACAATTTACAAAGGTAATGAACTCACAATTTACAAAGGTAATGAACTCCAGGTAAGTCTGGTCACAATCATGACAAGTTACAAAGGTATTTACAGATTACAGAGGTACGTAATGGGTCCAGGGACTGGGCCCCCAAAGTTTTGATAGCTGAACTAGGTACAAAGGTAATGAACTCACAAGTTACAAAGGTAATGAATTCTGTAGAATGGTTACTTACGTTTATACTTTGGCTACAATCATGAACAAATTATAGAGTAATGAGCAATTCACACTTCCACACCCGGTCACAATTGTAATGAGTTATTGGTGCAAATATTGATTGTTGAGTCACACACACCACACAAGAATGTTTTTGTGAGTGATGTGTATTTAGGCGTAAAGTGGAAAGCATCGTTACGATTACCAGGATTATATCTGGAGATTGTTTCCGGGGGTCAACGCCCCCTTGGCCCGATCCATGACCAGGACTTGCTTTGGATCATGACCTGATCAACCACCAGGCTGTTACTGCTGGCCGCAGGCAAACCGACGTACGATCCACAGCCTGGTTGGTCGGGAACTGACTTTAGGCACCTGTCCAGCTCCCTCTTGAATACAGCCAAGGGTCTATTGGTAATCCCCTTTATGTATGCTGGGAAGCAGTTGAACAGTCGTGGGCCCCTGACACTTATTGTGTCTGTTAGCGTACTCGTGGCGCCCCTGCTTTTCATTGGAGGTATTTTGTCAAGTCTTTCGTTCTCGTAGGATGTGATTTCTTGCTCAGATTCGGGACTTGTCCCTCTAAGATTTTTCCCAAGCATATATTGTCATATATCTTCTTAAAAAATCACAATCGTATTTTAAAATACGAAGTTTATATATTATTTTATATTATAAAAATGGTTGAAATTATCAAAATAAGTCTTTTGAGAATTATGGATATAAAATGCATGACCACTTTGCCTGATGTCATTCACTTCTCCAGTCAGTGGAAGGAAAACAGTTACCTCTCAGAATGACGGTGTTGTGAGGAGTGACTGTGACAGTACGGGGTCACAGTTGCTGCTGCTCACACACTCCAGTTACAGAAGTACTGTTACGAAAATCTTTTTGTTGTAAGCTTGGTGGCTCGGTGGTACAGCGTTGGGCTGCTGCATACCGTGACTACTGTTCGAGTCCTCAGTCATTATTTGATTCACTCATACTTGGATTTGTTTGCTATGTGAGTTATTTATTTTGGAAGTTCCTGGAACTTGAGATAAAAGATAAGTTCCTCAATTATTCCAGTTAATAAAACTTTATTAATTAAAAATTAGGAGACTGTGAACTAGGAACAGTAATTAAACCTGCCACACTGTGACTTAACTTGAAATAAACGTTTTTCTAGGGACTTGAACTTTATTTTTAAATATTGTTAATTATTATTTAAAGTAGCTTGTTGTTATTCCCTTAAGGTTATCAGTTAATTAGGACCACTTACCATCTACCTCACGTGAGAGGAAATCTCAGGGAAAGAGTTTGTGTAATCAATGTTTAAGGGGCACGTAAATACCCCTGTCTTCTAATAATACGGTCATTTTTCAAGTATAATCTGTCCATAATTACTATCGCACTTGTTTTGTCTGTTTCGTAAGGTGAAGTCTGAGCAAAGTTCAGACGTTGGTTTGCGTGCAGCCAGCAGTAACAGCCTGGTTGATCAGGCTCTGATCCACCAGGAGGCCTGGTCACAGACCGGGCCGCGGGGGCGTTGACCCCCGGAACTCTCTCCATTTAAACTCCAGGTAAACATTAGAAGACGGGGGAACTTACGTACCCCTTAATGACAATAACATGCTAGTCCACTGACCTCCCACAACACCAAGAATGGTAGTCAATATACTGACAGGTAGATAGATTGTAGATCTGTCTGGAAAAAAGGTCGATTGTCCAAGTGATTTTTTTCTACAGCAACCCACCTGGTCCTCGAAGGAGGCGCAGTCGATGTAAACGACGGAGGAGAGGTGGACCTTAGCGGTGGACCGCTCCAGAGATGAAATGCTCTCCTGGACCGTACCCATCTGTACCAAGAGGCGGAAGATGCATCAGAGGATATCAAAGGGAAGGGAAGTGTGATTGCATATTATTTGTGTCAGTGAAAGCATGGAGACTCGATATACTCCTTTCAGGGAAACCACAACCCACCACTTACCCTTTCTGATTTTTTATATTTTTTAGATAGTACAACGAGGTAATGTGTGCGCGTCGCTTTTGTCGGACGGAGGAACAAACTTTTAGTGCTTCTCCTTGAGCGGAATGATCACTACTATAGATACTAATACTACTGCTGTTACTACTACTGCTGCTGCTATTACTACTACTACTACTACTACTACTACTACTACTACTACTGCTGCTGCTACCACTACTACTACTACTACTACTACTACTACTACCACTACTACTACTACTACTACTACTGCTGCTGCTCTACCACTACTACTACTACACTACTACCACGTCTACCACTACTACTACTACTACTCAATATAAAATAATAGTATAAAAAATAATAGAAACAATAATTGCTTTTCAAAATTACCCCAAAATTAGCATATGGTTCTTAACGTGATATTTCGATCTGTGAGATAACAATTATCAAGTGAGGAAGGTTAGTATGCTACCTTACCATCCAGCAGAGTGTGGTCCTTGTACCAGGTGAGCACTGTGCCCGTAGGGGCGAAGACTTCACACTGGAGGACAGTGTCCTGCTGCAGACGAACTATCACCTGGCGAGGAGAACACTGCTTACCCCAGAAAACCTCCTCTGGTACGCCAGGAGATCCTGCGGGAGGAGAGATGGGGATGCTGGAAGTTACACACAAGACAGACGATCTTGGGGGAGACGTGCGGATGCTGGACGTTACACACAAGATGTAATGGTGATAAATGGGGGGTGATAAAGATAAACAACGATAAATGTAAACAGATGTAAACAGTTTAAAATTTTGATGATTTTAGTCGTTATGATGGTCATGCTAATGATGTTGAGGGTCGCTAGTTAATTGATCTTAAATCTTATCAACTGCACAAGGGTCATTAACGTGATGTTTCCTGGTCACCAGTAGCCACTTTAATATCTAAAATAGAGATTACAGTAAGCACTCGGCTTATATACACACGAACATATACCTCTAAATGTATATATGATGCTGAGGGTGATGGTGAGAGGGAAAAGAGCACCTGTGAGGTACTTGTCTGTGTTCGTATTGGTGTGAGGTACACAGAAGTACTGACCTGTGTTGGTGTGCTGCTGGTGTGGCTGACGATGCTGTAAAGACAGGAAAAATGGACAGGTAAGTTCCTAGAGTACTTAAAGTAGCATGTGATATGTATCTTTATAAGACAAACACACACACACACTCTCTAACACACGCACATAAACACACACACACACACACACACACACACACACACACACACACACACACACACACACACACACACACACACACACACACACACACACTAACACCACTCACACACACCACACCCACACACACACACACACACCAACACACAACCAACACACACAAAACCAACACACCACACACCTAACACACGTACACACTCTAACACACACACACACTCACACACACACGTACAACACTCTAACACACACACACACACACACACACACACACACAACACCACACACAAACACACGTACACCACTCAACACACACACACACACTAAACACACACACACTCAACACACACACACACACACAACACACACACACACACACACACACAACTCTCTAACACACACACACACACAACACATACACACTCACACACACACACCCCAACACACACACACACTCAACACACACACACACACATACACACACACACACACACACACACCTCACAAAACACACACACACACACATACACACAACACAAACCACAAAACACAAAACACACACACACACACAACACACACACACACACACACACACACCCCCCCCCACACCCCCCCACACCCAAAACATCACCCCCACACACACACACACACACACAACAACACACACACACACAAACAAAACACACACACACACACACACACACAACACTCACTCTCTCTAACACACACACACACACACATCCCACACACACACACACACCCCACACACACACACACACACACACACACACACACACACGACATAACGGAAGGGATAGACTCAGAGTGTCCTTGTTTGCAGATGATGTGAAGTTAATGAAAGAATCAAATCGGATGAGGATCAGGCAGGACTACAAAGAGACCTGGACAGGCTACAAGCCTGGTCCAGAAACTGGCTCCTTGAGTTTAACCCTGCCAAATGCAAAGTCATGAAGATTGGGGAAGGGCAAAGAAGACCGCAGACACAATATAATTTAGATGGCCAAAGACTGCAAAACTCACTCAAGGAAAAAGATCTGGGGGTGAGTATAACACCGAGCATATCTCCTGAGGCGCACATAAATCAGATAACTGCTGCAGCATACGGGCGCCTGGCAAACCTACGGATAGCGTTCCGAACCTCAATAAGGAGTCGTTCAAGACACTGTATACCATTTACGTCAGGCCCATACTGGAGTATGCAGCACCAGTTTGGAATCCACACCTAGTCAAGCACGTCAAGAAATTAGAGAAAGTGCAAAGGTTTGCAACAAGACTAGTCCCAGAGCTACGGGGATTGTCGTACGAAGAAAGGTTGAGGGAAATCGGCCTGACGACACTGGAGGCCAGGAGGGTCAGAGGGGGACATGATAACGACATATAAAATACTGCGCGGAATAGACACGGTGGACAAAGACAGGATGTTCAGAGATGGGACACATACACAAGAGGTCACAATTGGAAGTTGAAGACTCAGATGAATCAAAGGGATGTTAGGAAGTATTTCTTCAGTCATAGAGTAGTCAAGTCGTGGAATAGTCTAGAAAGTGAAGTAGTGGAGGCGGGAAACCATACATAGTTTTAAGGCGAGGTATGATAAAGCTCATGGAGCAGGGAGAGAGAGGACCTAGTAGCAATCAGTGAAGAGGCGGGGCCAGGAGCTATGACTCGACCCCTGCAACCAAATAGGTGAGTACAAATAGGTGAGTACTCTCTAAACACACACACACACACATACACACACACACACACACACACACACACACACACACACACACACACACACACACTCTAACACACACACACACACACATACACACACACACACACACACACACACACACACACCACACACACACACACACACACACTCTAACACACACACACACACACATACACAACACACACACACACACACACACACACACACACATACCACACACACACACACACACAACACACACACACACACACCACACACACACACACACTCTCTAACACACACACACACACACATACACACACACACACACACACACACACACACACACACACACACACACACACACACAACACACACACACACACACACACACACACACACTTTAACATACGCACACACACACACACACAGGTATGATAAAGCTCACGGTTCAGGGAGAGTGACCTAGTAGCGACCAGTGAAGAGGTGGGGCCAGGAGCTTGAACTCGACCCCTGCAACCTCAACTAGGTGAGTACAACTAGGTGAGTACACACACACACACACACACACACACACACACACACATAGAAGGTACAATTCAATCTGGGGAACATAAGGTGGTCATTGCAGTGATGTATAACCCACCACAGAACTGCAGGAGGCCAAGAGAGGAATATGATGAGAACAACAGAGCAATGGTGGACACACTGGCTGAGGTGTCAAGAAGAGCTCACTCGTGCAGAGCAAAGTTACTGATTATGGGTTATTTCAACCACAAGGATGTGGTACTGGACAACCTCATGCATCAACACATCAGGGACACTACCAGAGAGAGAGGGAAGGATGAACCAGCAAGACTGGACCTCGTGTTCACCCTGAGTAGCTCAGACATTGATGACATCACATATGAGAGGCCCCTCGTAGCTAGTGACCACGTAGTCCTGAGTTTTGATTATATAGTAGAGTTACAAGTGGAGAGGGTAACAGGAGTCGAAGGGGAAAAGCCAAACTATAAAAGGGGGGGACTACACAGGTATGAGGAACTTCCTGCGGGAGGCGCAGTGGGACAGAGAAATGGTAGGAAAGCCAGTAAATGAAATGATGGAATATGTAACAACAAAATTCAAGGAGGCAGAGGAAAGGTTTGTTCCCAAGGGCAACAGAAACACTGGGAAGACCAAAGCGAGTCCTTGGTTTACCCGAAGGTGCAGGGAGGCAAAAACTAAGTGCATTAGAGAACGGAAAAGGTACAGAAGGCAAAGGACCCAGGAAAATAAGATCAGTCGAAGAGCCAGAAACGAATATGCACAGATAAGGAGGGAAGCCCAGCGACAGTAGGAAAATGACATAGCATCGAAAGCCAAGTCTGACCCGAAACTGCTGTTTAGCCACATTAGGAGAAAGACAACAGTCAAAGACCATGTGATCAGGCTGAGGAAAGAAGGTGGGGAACTCACAAGAAACGATCAAGCGGTATGCGAGGAGCTCAACAGGAGATTTAAGGAAGTATTCACAGTGGAGACAGGAAGGACTCTGGGAAGACAGGATAGAGGGGGACACAAACAGGGAATACACCAACAAGTGCTGGATGATATGCACACAACTGAGGAGGAGGTGAAGAAGCTGCTCAGTGACCTTGATACCTCAAAGGTAATGGGACCGGACATCTCCCCGTGGGTCCTCAGGGAGGGAGCAGATATCTTGTGTGTGCCATTAACCACAATCTTCAACTGGGCAACTACCTGAGGTATGGAAGACCGCAAATGTAGTTCCCATTTTTAAAAAAGGAGACAGAAAAGAGGCACTAAATTACAGACCAGTGTCACTGACTGTATAGTATGCAAAGTCATGGAGAAAATTATCAGGAGGAGAGTGGTTGAGCACCTGGAACGGAATAAGATTATAAACGACAACCAGCACGGATTCATGGAAGGCAAATCCTGTGTCACAAACCTTCTGGAATTTTATGACAAAGTTACAGAAGTACGACACGAGAGAGAGGGGTGGGTTGATCGCATTTTCTTGGACTGCAAGAAGGCCATCGACTCAGTTCCTCAAAAGAGATTAGTGCAGAAACTAGAGAATCAGGCGAGTATAACAGTAAGAGCACCGCAATGGATCAGAGAACACCTGACAGGGAGGCAACAACGAGTTATGGTACGGGATGAGGTATCACAGTGGGCACCTGTGACGAGCGGGGTTCCACAGGGGTCGGTCCTAGGACCAGTGCTATTTTTGGTATAAGTGAATGACAGGATGGAAAGGATAGACTCAGAAGTGTCCCTGTTCGCAGATGATGTGAAGTTAATGAGGAGAATTAAATCAGATGAGGATCAGGCAGGACTTCAAAGAGACCTGGACAGGCTGGACACGTGGTCCAGCAACTGGCTTCTTGAATTCAACCCGGCCAAATGCAAAGTCATGAAGATCGGAAAAGGGCAAAGAAGACCGCAGACAGAATATAGGCTAGGTTGCCAAAGGCTGCAAACCTCGCTCGAGGAGAAAGATCTTGGGGTGACCATAACACAGAGCATGTCTCCGGAAGCAAACATCAACCAGATAACTGCTGCAGCATATGGGTGCCTGACAAACCTGAGAATAGCGTTCCGATACCTTAGTAAGGAATCGTTCAAGACATTGTATACTGTGTACATCAGGCCCATACTGGAGTATGCAGCACCAGTTTGGAACCCACACCTGGTCAAGCACATCAAGAAATTAGAGAAAGTGCAAAGGTTTGCAACAAGGCTAGTTCCGGAGCTCAGGGGTATGTCCTATGAAGAAAGGTTGAGGGAAATCGGACTGACGACACTGGAGGACAGGAGGGTCAGGAAAGACATGATAACGACATACAAAATACTGCATGGAATAGATAAGGTGGACAGAGACAGGTTGTTCCAGAGAGGGGACACAGAAACAAGGGGTCACAATTGGAAGCTGAAGACTCAGACGAGTCAGAGGAATGTTAGGAAGTATTTCTTCAGTCATAGAGTCGTCAGGAAGTGGAAAAGCCTAATAAGTGATGTAGTGGAGGCAGGAACCATGCATAGTTTTAAGACGAGGTATGACAAAGCTCAGGAAGCAGAGAGAGAGAGGATCTAGTAGCGATCAGTGAAGAGGCGGGGCCAGGAGCTGAGTCTCTACCCCTGCAACCACAATTAGGTGAGTACACACACACACCACACACACACACACACACACACACACACACACACACACACACACACACACACACACACAGACTCACCACGGGAGTGGCAGGAATGCTGGGGATGGTAACCAGCACGTAACCCAACAGAATATAAGTCCTCATCATTACGTACACCTGTAAGAAACAAAAAATAACCTTAGTTGCTGCTTCCACATGTTTGACTCCAGCTCCAGGGCATCAGCCTTCTCCCATACCAGTGTACCAGCGACTGTGTGAAAACGTCATAATCATGAGCATGTGAAGGAATCGGAATCGTGAACAGAATTACGAACTGGTAACAGACACATAAATCTGAAAAAAATCTGACTCGCCATAGGTATGAGAGTTGCCGCATGTGCATTGCCATAGGTATGCTAGTTGTCATATGTATGTGAGTTGCCATAGGTATGTGAGTTGCCATGGGTATGTGAGTTGCCATGGGTATGTGAGTTGCCATGGGTATGTGAGTTGCCATGGGTATGTGAGTTGCCATGGGTATGTGAGTTGCCATGGGTATGTGAGTTGCCATGGGTATGTGAGTTGCCACAAGTAGGTGAAGTGCCACAAGTATGTGAGTTGCCACAAATATGTGAGGTGCCACAAGTATGTGAGGTGCCACAAATATGTAAGGTGCCACAAGAATGTGTGTTGCCACAAATACGTGAGTTACCACAAGAATGTGAGGTGCCATAGACGATTTTCCCAGACCTGAATCCCAATTATATGCTATCTTAATTATCATTTATTCCTCACCTCCTCTTTATTTCCCTTTCCTTCATCATCTCTCTCACTCTCTCTCTCTCTCTCTCTCTCTCTCTCTCTCTCTCTCTCTCTCTCTCTCTCTCTCTCTCTCTCTCTCTCTCTCTCTCTCTCCTCTCTCTCTCTCTCCCTCTCTCTCTCTCTCCTATCTCTCTCTCTCTCTCTCTCTCTCTCTCTCTCTCTCTCTCTCTCTCTCTCTCTCTCTCTCCTCGTCTCTCTCTCTCTCTTCTATCTATCTATCTATCTATCTATCTATTTATCTATCTATCTATCTATCTATCTATCTATCTACCTCTTTCTCCATTTCTTCGGCTTTCCTACACTGTTACTGTCTCCTAGTCGACGGAGTCAGCACTGGCGTCTCAAGTCACCTTGCATCGCGTCCTTCCTCACTCAGCAGGTGAAGGTCCTTAGCAACTCTAGGTGACCAAGCAAGACTCTGGCTAGATACAGTAGACTATCACTCTGGCTAGATACAGTAGACTGTCACTCTGGCTAGACACAGTAGACTGTCACTCTGGCTAGCTACTGTAGATTATCACTCTGGCTAGCTACTGTAGACTATCACTCTGGCTAGCTACTGTAGATTATCACTCTGGCTAGCTACTGTAGATTATCACTCTGGCTAGCTACTGTAGACTATCACTCTGGCTAGCTACTGTAGACTATCACTCTGGCTAGCTACTGTAGATTATCACAGGGGCTAGCTACTGTAAATTATCACAGGGGCTAGCTACTGTAGATTATCACAGGGGCTAGTTACTGTAGATTATCACTCTGGTTAGCTACTGTAGATTATCACAGGGGCTAGCTACTGTAGATTATCACTCTGGCTAGCTACTGTAGATTATCACCTGGCTAGTATGTGACTATCATCTGGTAGTATGTGAACTATCACGGCTAGCTACTGTAGATTATCACTTGGCTAGCTACGTAGACTACACTTGGCTATATGAGTAGACTGTACTCTGGCTAATAGAGTAGACTTTCGTCGGGGCTATTAGGTAGCTTTCAGCTGGCTATATGAGTAGACTATCACTTGGCTATATAGAGTGTTTAGTCTGGCTATATAGAGTGAATCACTCGGCATATAGAGTAGACTTTCACTTGGCTATATACGTAGACTATCACTCTGGCTTTACAGTAGATTTTCACCTTTTTGTAAAAAGTAGAAAATCACCTGGCATTAGAGTGTTCCTCTGGTAGTACATTTGACTATCACTCGGGCTAGCCATACCCGGGGGGATTTAAAACCCGGGGGCAGGAGTCTAAAAAACTCCAGACGGCGCTTTTTACCCACTAGACGTAGCCACATAAGTTCGTCGAATGGTATATTTTCCCCATGGGAAAGGTTTGCTCTTTTGTCATTAGATTTCGTGTGTCTGTTGAGGCAGTGAGGGGATTGAGCTAGAGTTCGTCACGGCAACGTAGTAAAGATTCGTCTGTAAAAAACTTTCTTTTGTGGTCACAGTGGTGCCTGTGCTAACCTTCCTATGGTGTAAAAAAATATACCTAGTTGGACGAATCTTATTGTGGTAGCTGGTCCCGTGGCTAACGCGCGGTTGAGTTTGAGACTCCTGACTGGGTCAGTCCGCCGGGTATGGTTGTTTGCAATCGTGTCATTACGATTTCGTGAGTCACTCTGGCTAGCTACTGTAGACTATCACTCTGGCTATATACAGTAGACTATCACTCTGGCTATATGCAGTAGACTATCACTCTGGCTATATACAGTAGACTATCACTCTGGCTTTTGCTTTTTGTAACAGTAGACTTCACTCTGGCTATAGGCAGTAGACTTTCCACTCTGGGTATTACAGATAGACTATCACTCTGGCTATATACAGTAGACTATCACTCTGGCTATATAGAGTAGACTATCACTCTGCTATATAGAGTAGACTATCACTCTGGCTATATAGAGTAGACTATCACTCTGGCTATATACAGTAGACTATCACTCTGGCTATATAGAGTAGACTATCAGTCTGGCTATATACAGTAGACTATCACTCTGGCTATATGGTAGACTTCACTCTGGTTATGTGACTATCACTCTGGCTATATACAGTAGACTATCACTCTGGCTATATAACAGTAGACTATCACTCTGGCTATATACAAGTAGACTATCACTCTGGCTTTTATACAGTAGACTATCACTCCGGCTATATACAGTAGACTATCACTCTGGCTATATAGAGTAGACTATCACTCTGGCTATATACAGTAGACTATCACTCTGGCTATATACAGTAGACTATCACTCCGGCTATATAGAGTAGACTATCACTCTGGCTATATACAGTAGACTATCACTCCGGCTATATAGAGTAGACTATCACTCTGGCTATATAGAGTAGACTATCACTCTGGCTAGCTACTGTAGACTATCACTCTGGCTATATATAGTAGACTATTACTCTGGCTATATAGAGTAGACTATCACTCTGGCTATGTAAGTAGACTATCACTCTGGCTATATAAGAGAGACTATACTCTGGCTATATACAGAAGACTATCACTCTGGCTATATACAGTAGACTATCACTCTGGCTATATACAGTAGACTATCACTCTGGCTATATACAGTAGACTATCACTCTGGCTATATACAGTAGACTATCACTCTGGCTATATAGAGTAGACTATCACTTGGTATACTGTGACTATCACTCTGGCTATATACAGTAGACTATCACTCTGGCTATACAGTAGACTATCACTCTGGCTATATACAGTAGACTATCACTCTGGCTATATAGAGTAGACTATCACTCTGGCTATATACAGTAGACTATCACTCTGGCTATATACAGTAGACTATCACTCTGGCTAGATACAGTTGACTATCACTCTGGCTATATAGAGTAGACTTTCACTCTGGTTATATAGAGTAGACTATCACTCTGGCTAGATACAGTTGACTATCACTCTGGCTATATAGAGTAGACTTTCACTCTGGCTATATAGAGTAGACTATCACTCTGGCTATATAGAGTAGACTATCACTCTGGCTATATAGAGTAGACTATCACTCTGGCTATATAGAGTAGACTTTCACTCTGATTATATAGAGCAGACTATCACTCTGGCTAGATACAGTTGACTATCACTCTGGCTATATAGAGTAGACTTTCACTCTGGTTATATAGAGCAGACTATCACTCTGGCTAGCTACTGTAGACTATCACTCTGGCTTTATACAGTAGACTATCACTCTGGCTTTATACAGTAGACTATCACTGGCTATATACAGTAGACTATCACTGGCTATATACAGTAGACTATCACTAGCTATATACAGTAGACTATCACTGGCTATATACAGTAGACTATCACTGGCTATATACAGTAGACTATCACTGGCTATATACAGTAGACTATCACTAGCTATATACAGTAGACTATCACTGGCTATATACAGTAGACTATCACTCTGGCTAGCTACAGTAGACTATCACTGGCTATATACAGTAGACTATCACTCTGGCTAGCTACAGTAGACTGTTACGCCAGTTTACATCAATTTATATCAATTTATATCATTGTACACCAATTTACATTAAGACATCCCTGGTGGCCTGGTGGTTAACGCTCTCGCTTCACACGGTGAGGGCGGGGGTTCGATTCCCAGCCAGAGTAGAAACATTGGACGTGTTTCTTTCCACCTGTTGTCTATGTTCCCCATCAGTAAAATGGGTACCTGGGTGTTAGTCGACTGGTGTGGGTCGCATCCTGGGACACTGACCTAAGGAGGCCTGGTCACAGACCGGGCCGCGGGGGCGTTGACCCCCGGAACTCTCTCCAGGTAAACTCCAGGTATACTTTAATTTACGCGAGTTTACAAAAAAGTGCATCAGTTTTCTCCAATTTTCTCCAACTTTTGGAACTTTACCCCAATTTACATTAAGTTCCAAAATTATTAACACAAAGTTCCACATGAAAAGTTCACCTGGATATTAGAACACATAACACCATATGCACGACAACATAACACAACATAACACCATCACATAACACAATCTAACGCCATCACATAGCACAGTATAATACCATCACATAACACGACCACATAACACGACAATGTAACACAACAGGATAACATAACACCATCGCTATAACACCACCGTATAACACAAAACATTACACCACATAACGCAACACTGTAACATCATCACATAACATATAACATATCACTATAACACCACATGGCCACATGGAACCAGCAGCACCACATAACACTACCAGTTAAACCAGCAAAACCAACAATAACACTACATAACACCACCAATATCACAACATAACACCACCAATAGCACTTCATAACACCACCAATATCACAACATAACACCACCAATATCACAACATAAACA